TGCCTCCGTGGCCCCCCCCCCCAAATTAAAAGGCGAATTGAAAAGGGGAAAATGTCAAATGCTTGGTGACACGGAGACAAATGAACCAATGTTGAGTTTCACTTGCCAGACTTTAACAGCAATGAAAGGGAAAATGGGAAAGGCAGCCTTGCTCTCGTGGGAGGGATGGATGGGGCCGGAGCTGGTCAGAATGTCAGCGGGAGCAGTGAAAACGGGTGTCGACGCAAAGAACAATACACACGTATCGAGTGACTGGGCTGTTTACACTCAGTATCTGGGTTGTCACTACATTGTTGTGATTTGGGGGGAGCCACAAAGGATATTCAGATAGGTCCCCCATCTGTGACTTCTGGCTTTAGAGAAGTGACATAAAATATAAAAGGAGAGATGCCGACTCCAGGCACAATCCCATGGCTTAGTGGCACTAAGGCACAAATGACTAAAAACAAATTTTTTTTTTTCCCCAAGGAGCAGATTTTCACAGGAGCAGGGGGGTGGGTTGGAGAGCGTCGGTGCTGTGGAGGTTGGGGAAGAGGGTGTTCCCTGAGGGTCGTGCGGTGGCTCCAGATGTGAACAGGGACAGGTGCGGCTGGGAAGGATCATTTTAGGCTCATGGGTTCTTGCACCGTTTGGACGTTTTTCCCTTTTAATAGGAACCCCGAGTCTTGGAGCTCTTTGTGTAGGTTACGACTTGCATGTTGTGAAATTATCGTATTGGGAGTAAAAATGAAAATAAGAAGGATGGGGCACCTGGGTGGCTCAGTTGGGAAAGCGTCTAACGTCGGCTCAGGTGATCTCACGGTTTGTAAGTTCGAGCCCCACGTTGGGCTCTGGGCTGGCAGCGTAGAGTCTGCTTGGGATTCTCTCTCTTCATCTGTCTGCCCCACCCTCCCCCCCCACCTCTCTAAAAATAAATACGTAAACTTGAGAAAAAGAGAGAGGAAGGAGTTCTGTTAGAGGAGTTTGAGACATCTTCCCCTCCCTCCTGCTTGCTATACAAGATGCTCAGTGACGGCCGCAGCTTCAGCAGGAGGAAGCCTGTGTTGACTGGCCACGTCTTAGTCTTCTGCTTCTCCTCATCTCCTAGAAGAGAGTTCACACCAGCAGCTCCACGGTTCAGAGTTCCACAGGTCTTGAAGAAACCAAGGAAAAGCCAAGGACTAGGTTTCCTGAATAATTAGAAATGTAGTTACCCGAGGGGCGCCTGGGTGGCTCAGTAGGGTGGGCGCCCGACTTTGATCTCAGCTCAGACCGTGATCTCGCAGTTCGTGAATTTGAGCCCCGAATCAGGCTCTCTGCTGTAGGCGCGGAGCCCGCTTTGGATCCTCTGCCCCCCTCTCTCTGTGCTTCTCCCCCACTGGCGCTTTCTCTCTCAAAAATAAACATTTAAAAAAAAATGTACTCACTGGAAGATTCTGTGGCCGAGGTTCAAGGTTAAGGATATATGCACTTTAATGGGGGGAAAGGTAACTGAAGCAAAGTATAGTTAACCTAATGAATGGATCACGAGTCTCCCTTACCCCTGCTGTTGTGTTTCTTTTTTTTTTTTTTT